AAGTCACCATATAGTTTCTCATCAGTATTGAGCCGTAAGTGCAGAGGGCTGTTTTACAATTATACTTAGTGAGATTGATAATCTTGAGATTAAAGACTGCCCTAATGAGTTCTTACCAGTTTCAACCTAAAAGTATAATTAAAAGAGAGAGAAAACAAAACAAAACAAAACAAAAATTTTACCAAGATCTCTACTTAGAAGAAATGAGTTGTAAGTTACTATCTATTGCAGCTAGGTAAATCCACCTAAGTACAGAAAACAAGCATAAACAAGCATGTGGATTTTGTCCCCCCTAAAACTTTAAAGTCTTAATACTTAGAATAGAATATTCTAGAAATACCTGACATTATTCGTGTGTTTTCCTTAGCCATATTACCATAGTATTGCCATGTGTACTGTATATCATAAGTTAAATAAACTTCAGTTAATCTATTCTCACAGAGCCCTCTGCATTGGTACTCAGTACATACCGGGATTGGGTGACTTGAATAAACATGTACTCTTCTTCTTCGCAATTCAATGAGCTCACACAGACTGACACGGAACTGTACTCTCGTAGCTTTTTTAAAAATCTATTAAATATTTCACTTTTACTGAAGTTTAATGTTGCTCAAGACTCCTCATTGTTCATTTCTGTTTTATTGGCGCATGAGCAGGTGCCCACTGGGAGTGACCTCACAATACGAGCACAGTCAGCAATTGAGGTGGTTTAGGATCAGGCAGGAATGAGCACTTTCAGGACGGCCTGAGATGTTTTGTTATCCTTTCCTCTGTGTGTGTTTCTTAGAAAATACGCCTCATGGTTAAATGTAGGCTTTCCTATCATCTTCACAACACTTACCACTCCAATCAAGGAAATCTAAGATACATCACTTGCCTTTTTCCTTTTCATCACTGAAATGAGTAACAAGTACGCTGGCTCTGGAAGGAAACTTAGAAATCCTGATTGAATCCCTAGGGGCAAGAATGGGGCCTGGCTCACATCTGTTGAATGGACAAATGAATCAGCAACTCTTTCCTCACACTCTACCCTATTTTGTAAGAGAGAAAACTACTTGAGCCCAGAGAAATTAAGTGGCTCACTATTACACACCTGTGTACTTAACATCAAATCAGAGTAAGAACTCATCTCATGTCTGGCTTCTTTTTCCAACTTCCATCATTCTAAGAGTCAAGACTCATTCTTAAAACAGATCTGAACACTCATGGCTTTCTGACCACCCTTGGTTCAGCACACATAGAGAAGTCTAGAGAAGCATAAGTGAATGCTCTCCTCTCCACCTATGCTTCAAAGACTGTCCAAGCCAGTAATTTTGTTTCTCTGATTGAGCCTGACATCATGGTGAGAGTGCTGGGAAACCTCACAACTACCCACAGTCATTAAGCACACCTACACACATGTGGATTCATGCGGAGCAGGTTAAGCAGGCTAGAGTAGCTTATAAACAACTTACAGAATCTCAGCATTAGATGAGACGTAGAAAGAGTCTAGCCTAACCTCCCATTTGTCTAGTGCTTGGATCTTCCCTCCTTACTCTCTGTTCACACACTGCCCATTACGAAGCCTCCTGGGGCAGACTGATCTTTGAACAGCTCTAACCATTTAAGTCAAACAAGAAGTAATGAACTAAGCACATAAAAGAAGCACCAGCTTCCAGAAAGCTTGGAAAATGTTCGCGGACAAGGCAGGATGTACAGCTTAATAAAGAAAAGTCTATTATAACTGGTGGTTTCCTTTGCCTATTCCAACTTTTAGCTGTCAGAGTCATCAATATCAATGCATATCATATATTTTGAATGGAATAAAAATTGACTCAACTCTTTAAAATCCACAATTCACACAGTACTGTTTGTTTCCTCAGAAAGTTTCTTATATTTCATAAACTGCTTGTCAAGCACTACCCATAAAAAGCCCTGCCGTATCTCATTTCTTATCCATTATACACTGTCTGCAGTGTAAGGACACTATCTCTTTAGACGTTCATGAAGGGCATGCACTATTCACAATGTATCCTTGTTAGAGCAGGAATCAGGGGTGTTTGTATAATATCTAGTGCTGAAACCTTGGCCAATCCCTGCTTCTGGACTCTAAGACACCATGTGGGCTGTATTGGCATAGTTAGGTACAATTCCATGAAATTTGCAACCAAGCTTTCCACCTAAAACTCTTTGTGAAATGCAACACTTTCTGGGGAGCACTACTTGTACAACTCAACTTCTCCTTCCCATCAGTATCTATCACAGAACTATACCCAAACCAGCCAATGAATCACCATCCCAAATTTCTGCATCAAGTGGGCGTGAGCACCACTGCTCAGGTGGAGAAATAGAGACTTTGTGTTCCATCCAAATGTGTCCAGTGAGTCACTAGCAGGTTCAATAAGACAATCCATGAGTCAAGGCTCCCCCTTCTGGAAATGGTTTTGAAGGAAAGGTCCCAGCTCCTCTTTGGAAAAACTGTAGCTATAACCAAAGCAAGAAGGAAAATTTGATCTTGAGCTTTATAAATTAAAATAAACAAAAGCAGGAAGACATTTCGAAAGTATGTGTGTGTGCATGTGTATCTGTCTGTGTATTTAGTTTACTACTACAGTTTTAAATACTGTAATGACTGTATTAACTAGGCCTAAGTGAAACTAATTGTTTTTTCCCATTGGGTATGTGTACTCACCAGAGACAGACAGACAGAGACAGTGATCGAGAAAATGAGAAATCAGCCCCCAGGGGAGATGGCCATGCCACAATCCCTTCTCTTCTATTCTCCTCCTGGAATTTCAGACATGCCTGTACACATGTCCAGTGTGATTTTCAAGCCACCAGGTCCAGGACTTGAACCACGGTCAGCCATGTGAGAGTCCAGCACTCCAACCATTTAACTAAATTTTTTTTAACACATGTGTAAAGTTGATCTGAGTATTTCCAACACGGATCATTCTGATTCTATTTGGTCATTTAGGGGAGATGAAGACTTACTGAAAAGTGTTGACAATGAACAATTTTGAAGAAAGGAATAAAACTGACAATGCTCTCTCTTTAGAATTACCCTTGGAACTTTTCCATCTTTAATTCCTTAGGGTAATATCCTGAATGTCCAAAACATTTCCTTAAGTGTACTTCTCTTTCCATAGGAAAATTCAGGGGTCATTTTCTAATTGTTCACTTTAGAAGTAAGAATATAACTCAGAAGAGCAATAAGCAACACATAATCACTAAAATCGATTCGTTTTTGTATACGTGATTCCTCAGAGGGGAATCTGGAAAAGCTGAGATAACACGCACACTGACTAAACAAATTCCTCAGGTATTCAGGTGCCTAAACAGATTGTGAGCAGATTGAACAGCTAAGAGACAAGGATGTGACAAAACCACGTGCACTGTTAAACACTGCTCCTCACCAAAGGTGAACAAAACACGTAGAGAACCCGAGCAGTGCAATGCCGCTCCCTCTCAGCCCACAGCTGTGCAGGTGGGCTGTCCTGTTTATCTAGGCAAAGACTAAGATAGGTTCTCTGCAAGTTAGGTAAAGGGCAGAACAGACGCCCAGTACACAAAGCCCAGTGTGATTCCGTAGGGAGTATCCCAGCCATGAATCACTATTACCTAAGTAAGTGGGAATTTAGTGACTTTCTGACGAGGCATTCAAAATCTTTTATTTATTTATTTAAAGAAGCAACAATTGACACCTTATCATTCTCTTCTCCACTATGCTTGGAAATGCATCTCGCTGCACAATCATGTCCACCTTGGCAAGGGCGATGCAAACGTCCATTACACAAACATCCCAGGGTGGAAGCTGAAAGGGGGAGACCTACTTCTCGCTCCCTTTCTCGCTCGCTTCTCCCCCAGCTCACCTCCCCTTCCATCAGCCACGTCCATGTTGCAGTATGTGCATTCAGAGCCTTCACGCTTCCCTTTGCGTTCTGTTGGGGAGTTTGAGAACTTTCCTTTTTCTTGTCATCCTTTTCCCCACTGCCACTGACCTCCTCTTTCCAAAATAACATGATGGTCTGCCTCTTCTGAAGACCCCCCCATGAAACCTACTCTGGGAGTATTTCAAGAACCTTTTTCAAGAAATCTTGAAAGGGGCCTCCTGTCTCTGACCAGACCTTAAAGATCAAAAGAATCAAAATATTCAACTTCAAATGTGAGTTGAAGACACTGAAAAGGAACATTTCAGATAGGGGTGTGACTTTTACTATAGTTAGTCATGGTAAAGATTAAAATAAAGTTGGGACCAGCAGTTACAGTAATGGCTATGTTGCTGGACTCCCATGTACTCAACTGCGGTTAGAGTGCCGGACCCGGTGGCTTAAACTCATGCCGGGTGCGTGTGCGTGTGCGTGTGTGCCCAAGATCCCGAGAGGAGAATAGAGGAGAAGGGATTGCGGCATGGCCATCCCCCCCTGGGGGGTGATTTCTCACTTTCTGTCTCTCTGGCCAGCACAAGTGCCCTATAGCAAAAAACTCTCAAAAAACAAAACAAAACAAAACAAAAAACACGATGAAAATAAAGTTAAAAACAGAAAACTCCCTAACCTAATACTTTGGGATCATCTACTTAATTTTGCATACTTGACTACCAGTCTGTAAACTCCCTAGTTTCTTGTCCCGTTCTCTTGTCTGAACTGCCCCAAACCTTGATTTACACACCATCTTGGAAGTCCAGGAGAGGCAGGACTAGGAACCCAAGTTCCAGTGGTCCTTTCACTCTCCACTCACCCTTGTAGGAATTTAGGATGAAACCACACTTAGCGGGAGGGGGGGTGTTGGCGGGGAGGGTTACCCAAGGAGTTACAAGCAAAGTTTAAACTTTGGCCTGGGCCCTCCTTTTCCCAAACCAGTGTTCTCCTTCTCACCAAGGAGCACAAGATCAGAACTGACCCATTGAAGACCGACAGCCCTGTAACCCCTCCAACAGAAGCCTCAGACGCTGCTTTAAATGGAGCCTCTGGGGGAGACGGGTGCGCTGGGCGGGGCGGCGGGGTGGGGGACGAACTCACTGTTCAGATTCAGCAAAGAGTCGAAGACTTTGCACTGGATCTGCCCGGTGCTCTGCGACACGCAGGACATCCACAGTCCCTCGTAGATGGCCTGGGCCGTGACGATGTTGTCGCCGGCATAGGAGTAGATCTTCCACTGGGGCAAGGCGGTGCTGACGATAGCGCCGATCCAGCCCACGAAGGCCAGGATAAAGCCCAGCAGCTGCAGCCCCGCGTTGGCCATGGCTGGCTCCGGCGTCCGCGCTGCCTCAGGGGTGGCAGGTGCAGAAGGCGGAGAGTTTGCAGGTGCGCACCTGAGGCTCCCGAAAGCGGCGGGCCGGGCCGAGAAAGTGATTGCAGAGAGCGCTGCTAGCTAGGCCGGTACTACAGAGGCTCTGGCTCCGGGTCCGGGCAGGTCGGCTATGGAGTACCAACGCGAGGAGCTACCGCTGCTCCCTGGCTCCGGGAATGAGAAGCCGAACTTCTGGGCGCCGCGATTTAAAGCAGCTCCGCCCCGGACGCAGCCGCGGCCACCACGCTGCGCCCCCTGGTGGTTTCGGGGCCGCTCACCCCGAGAGCGCCCGGGATCTCGGGAGTCGGCTCCCGCCACCGCGCCCGGAGCTGGAACGTCCCGCCCGCGACGGAAAAGCCCGAGTGGGACCTCGCTGCGGCAGTGCGCCCGCGCGCCCTCGCGTTTCTCTCCTGGATCGTGAGCTCGTCAGGCTTTTCATTACCCCCAATTACTATGCACTTCTGTGTGCAATCACTAAAAACGCCTGGAGGTCAAAAGTGGAGCCCCCGCCCCCCTGCCCTCCACAGTTTGTGGGTTTGTTTTTTTTTTTTCATTCTCTTATTAAAAGATATTTTCTAATTGCTTCCTTTCTCCTCTCCCTCTCCTCTCCCTGACGCGTACTTCTCGCTTGGTTCAGCTTCCCCCTCCTCCTCCCTTTTTGTCCTCTCCTCTTCCCCTTTTGATCTTTCCCTCTTAGTTCTGCAAGAATCTGCAGAGATCTTTACACTGCAGACTGGGAAACCCAGACCCATGGAGAAAAACTGATTTCCCTAAAATCACACGGAAGTGACTAGCCTATCCAGTACCTGGTCACCAGCTCACTCTGCTTTCCACGCCACCTCAAGTTGATGGAAATACGTCATTTGATCGATTATCGTCTCTATGGAAAGACAGCCTCCCCTTCTCCCCCAGACCCCGAGTATCTTCCCCGCGGTAGTTTGTCTTGGAGCACCAGTTTATTATCCCGGGAACCTGGCCAGTGACCTCTCAAAGTCTTCCTTAGTGAATTGTCAAGGGTGATTCATCAAAGGCGAGAGTGTATCAACAGGCTTTTCTCAGTAGCAAGAGGCCTGGGCTGGGGGTTAGGAAGCCTTGGCTCGGCCTTGGCTGTTGTCCTGATTGGTCAGTCACCCCTATGCACAGGCCTTGGTTAGGGGCCTTCTGGTTCCCCCCCCCCCCCAGGGGCTCA